TAAATAACATAAGGCTATTTAGTTTGTTTAATAAAAAAACAAGGTGTAGACCTGTTCTATAAGAGAGGTAACCGTAAATGACTTCTGTTGTGATCTGGCGCTATATAGATAAAATTAAATTAAATTAACTTGACCTTCAAGGGTGGGTGCGGGGTGCCCCCCTAATATAATGGCAGGGGAAACACTGCTGTTCTTATTAAAATATATAAAAGAAAAACTGATCATACTAAATTTTATTCTATTTTAAATTAATAAAAACGTATTGCTGACTAATGGGTAAAACCTAGTGGTTTGAAAAATAGTGGCAAAGATTGATAAAGATTTAAAATGATTATTAATTAGTTTTTGTAGGCTGCAGTGCAATGTGATCCTTAAACTGGTATGTAAACTATTGTTACACTGCATAACATTTTAGTTGTGTCTTTCAAAAATCATGGTAAAAATGTATGGTAGTCATTATTTTTTTGCTCTGGAAAAAACTAAAAACTGGACACATTCTAATATACAAAAAAAAAAGGAAAGCTGTATTAAACTTTTATTGTTTTGATGCTTGAAAACCTCTTTTTTCTTTGACCTCAATATGCTAATTTGCTGCTGAAGTAACATTTCTTATTATAATGTTGAAAACAACTGTGCTGCTTCATATTTTTTGGAAACCATGATTTTTTTTTTCTCTTTGGATAAATAGAAAGTTCCAAAGCACAGCATTTATTTGAAACTGAAATTGTTTGTAACATTATAAATGTTGTTACTGCCACTTTTCAACAGGAGCGTATTTTTAAATAGTGTATTCTTTTTTAGGGTATCAAGATAACAATAATATAGCACACTATAATGGACAGTTCTCCTGGAGAAATCCTAAGTGTTCTGCTCACTAAACGCACAAGTTTTTTGTGTGTATCACTGATTCACATCCATTAGGAAACCATCAAACACGTACATCACTTAAGGAGCTATTCATACAGAATGTGTCTTTGCGCCTAAAAACGGGAATGGTTTTAAAAGAGGCGAGACATGTGCGCAACGGTCATACATGTCTGTCTAGTGTGTGTTTATATAAAAAAAACAATGGAAAAGTAGCGCACTGGAATGGAAAAATTAGTTCTGTGTGAACGGCCCCTTACACTTCCCACGTTATGCATGTCTATAGCATCTGTCTGGAATTTCCTGCCTCCTTTACTGATAAACATGTTAAAGTAATTTAGGTTGCTGCTGCAAAAATTTTGTAACAAAAGCAGCAACTGGAAAACAATGTTAATATGTGGTTGAGATGACAAAGTACAAAACATATGCTGCCATCTAGTGTTCAAATGCTGATTCAATAACTAGCTGTTTGCAAAATAAATTTATCATGATAAAATGAACATAAAAGGTTTTCGAGGACATATTTCAGAACAATTTGGGACAATAATGGTTGATCACACATACCAAGTGCTTGTAAGACTCCACTGATGACAGCAGGACCCCATGGATGTGAAACTCTGCACTGACCACTCCTGTGAAACTATAGCAGGACCTGAAAGAGTGAAATGTGTCAAACCAGAAATAATTCCTAATTTTATATACTTTGAAAGAAATTATTACTTCTGTTCATCAAGGAAGTAAATGTTAAATTGAAATGTCAAAAGTGACAATAACAGCATTTATAGTATAATGTTGCCAAAGATGTCTATTTAAAATAAATACTGTTCAGACAGAACTTAAGAATTCTTAAAAGAATGTGTAGTTTCCACAAAAAATATGAAGCAGCTCAACTGTCTTCAACATTGATAATAATAAGAATGTTTCTTGAACAGAAAATCAGCATCATGTGACACTAAAGTAATTACTGCTGAAAATTCAGCGTTGCTATCACAGGAATAAATCAAATGTAAAATCTATTAAAAATCTGTTTTACGAAGCTACGAGAATACTTTTTGTGCGCAAAGAAATCTAAAATAGCGACTGTATTCAATATACTTCTCCTCATCGCCGCTGCAGACGAATAAAGTTGTTATTTTTGTTTTCTTTGAGCACGAGAAGTAGGCTATTCTCGTAGCTTCGTAAAATTATGGTTGAGCCCCTGATGTCACATGGACTAGTTTAAAAATGTCCTTACTACCTTTCTGGGCCTTGAACGCGTCAGTTGCGTTGCTCTCTATGGAGGGTCACTCTGAGAGCTCTCGAATTTCATCAGAAATATCTTCATTTGTGTTCCGAAGATGAATGAAGGTCTTACAGGTTTGGAACGACATGAGGGTGAGTAATTAATGACAGAATTTTCATGTTATTTGGCACCTGATAAAGATGCTCTCAGTTCATAATGCATAAATATTACAAAATTAATGACAGGTCTGGTCTTCAAATCGCTTCCTCAAAAACAAAATTTCTCTCAACATGACAACACGAGAGCTGCCATTAAAGACATGGGAAACAAAGTAACTGGAGAAAAGAGAGAAGAGCGAAGATCGTGTCATCTTCCGAGGCGACAGAACACTGGAAGAGATCTGCCAAACACAAACCTGTCATGTTTACTGTAACGCAAACCTAAATGAGCAAACGCAAGAGACCTTATAGCAGTTATGACAGCGGCACTTCTTCTCCAATAACTAATAAAGTGCATTTTAATGACCTGATATACAGGATTAATGTGTCAATAGCTCGGCTGAATCATTATTATTCACACCGCTGTCATAAACGAGCGCTCCACGTGCGGTTTGTTGTTGTCGATTCCGTTCAGATGAATTTCATTGGTCGGCGTCGATACACGTGGGAGCAACGATGCTTGTTATTCGCCAGCTTCACTGTCAATCAAATAAAAGTCTTTCCCCTTGTGCGCCCTACAATTCTGTCCGTGTGGCACTAGTGACGGGAACCATGCTAGTCTGTTTAACTACTCACATTTTGAGACTTATCTGTTGTTGTGTTAAATTGAAAAGATCATGATCTCGTTCTAGTTAGTGTCAGCAATGTCGTGGAGTATGACATATTATACTTAACTTAAATCAACATGTTTTTTCAAGGAATAAATGAAAATTGAAAATGTGTGATTTATTTCATGCGACATTTTCTAATTCCTGTCTAATTGCTATAGGCCTTCAGTGCATGTAGTTTTTAAGACATTATATTAGTAGAGAGACTGCATGATATTTGTGCCCTTTAAAATACATAGCAGAACTATTTAAATCAATTGCAACTTTATTTATGATATTAAACATGTTTAGGCTAAATACCCCTAGATCAAACTACCAATATGAAGTTCCCATTGGCTTTTTTTAGAGGTTGTGAGGCTGTGAAGTGTGCATGTAAGAGCTTGACGAGTAAGCAGAAATGATTATTGCTTGGTTTGCTGTTAGCTGACGTGATTGCTTGTAAAAGCAATAGGGCAAGACTATGTCTGAAACCCTTGGTGAAGCTATTTCATGTAATTATCAATTATTTTTATATTTGACACTATATTTCATCACAATGCAGAGTATTTATCATTTTAGTAAAATCAGATTGAGTTGTGGTAATGAGACCATTTGAAAATTTGTTGTGACAATTACAGATAATATATGCTTGGATCACAAGGGTTTTTATTACACATAGCCTATATATTTATTAATTTAATATCTTACAACAATTTAAATGCAGAACTGTATGCATTATGAATATAAATCACCATTAAATATAAATAATATTTTCGACTGTATGTAAATAATTATTTTCGAATGTAGATCTAGATTATGGAGAAAATCACCCTGTTATACGCCTTCAATATATGCTCTTTTGTTCAGAGAGAGGAATAATAAATCACCTTCATAGTTAAGCCATTCTGAAATATTCAGCTGGGAAGATATTTTTTGCATAAATTAATAAATAATACCCTGCTTCATCCTTTCAGACAAGCTGTCTAATTTTAGTCCCACAGAAATACAGAGGGAGAAATATATTCACAAATACTCTTCTACATGCAAGGATTGAGTTAGTATGTAACCAATGATACAATTAAGTAAATTATGGGTAGTTGGATACTTCGGTTGACATACTAAAAATATTTTAAACAGCATTTTCTAAATGAACTCAGTTAATAATAATAATATTAACAAATACTTTGCCGTATACTTTTATATAAATTGAAACCAAAAAACTTTAACAAAAAGATTATGCCTTTACACAAATGATTGCATTTAAGACACAACTTTCACTCAAAAATTGTTATAAATTTCACATAATTATAAAGAAAAGGCAGGGTGACACTGATAAGACTTTTCTTGCAAACATACTCCAATAATCTTTATGTCAATCTTGTTATTAACAACTATGAAAAATAAGCCTAGTCTAGTCTAGCAGTCAACTTTAAAACTATTACTATCATCATATTTTATTAATTATTTTTTTTATATTTATTTGGCACCTGATAAAGATGCTCTTAAATCATAATGCAAAAATACTACAAAATTAATGACACTTCTGGTCTTCAAATCGTCACTTTGTGCTGGGTAGTCTGGATAGAGAACCTAAATGAATATTAAAATCTATCCTTAATACTAGAAGGACTTATGTTGCCTTTTTTGCAGTCATCATAGGGCTCCATATGAAAACAGGCTATTCTCTGTTTAAAACTTGCCATCAGACCTGGATGAATAATTAGAAAAATGTTCATCATATTTCAAAAAAAAAATGTTTACTGTGAACTTTTTGGGAAGAAATGAAGTTAAAGGTAAAATACCGCATAATTGCATATCATAACATACATGTAAGCAAATCTCTGTAAAACCTTCAACCCAAGAGAATTACTTATAGAATTACTAATTATATTTTAGGAGTTTTGCCATCCTAAATGCTGAGGTTTGATTTCTAATGTACAGATCAATATAGGCTACATCAATATACACTCATGCTGAGGTCAGCCAGCTAATGAACGTCTCCTATGAGAGGGTGGCAGTGTGAGTGGACTATATCTGGATCTGAGTGTTTGAAAGCAAAGGCAGGCAGACAGAGAGAGAGAGAGGCGGTGTATAATATCTTCTTCTCCCCTTCTTTGTCCCTCCTCCACCATAGTACTCCTCCTCACGCCGCAGTCGGTCTCTCCTCGCATCCCGCCGCAAACAGGATGACTCACAACAACCTTCACTTCACCCTCACCTACATTTAACCCAGCCAGTGTGTATCCACACACACACACTGCGCCCCATTTCTGCATCCATTCCCCGCTGAAACGGCAGCAGCACGATGCCCGACACGGCGGCGGCGGCCGCTGCTGCATCATCGGCGAGCAGCATCAGCAGCAGCAGCGACAGCGAGAGCTCGCGGCACAGACACCGAGCGCAAGGAGACTCGGAGCGGCCAGAGCAGCAGCAGCACAGCGCTGCCCCTCAGCCCACATCAGCGGGCATTTTGGGTGAGTTTGGAGAGGGCAAATACGGACGGGACAGGTGCATGTGACGCGGGCATAAGGGACAGACGGCATATCCTTCGAGCAGAATGAACAATGCGGCGCTTTGTTATGCTGTCTGCTCTGTATGTCCATTATGCATGCATTAAACTCTCCCTGCTGATGTATTTGTGGCCTATAGAAGGTCATGCGGCAGCATCAGTTCAAATGCAAGAGTGGAGCTGTAAGGTTAGTCTACATATAATATGGGCCGTGCGCTACTTTTTTGCTCTCGATTAGTCCTTTTTCACGGGCCTTTGGGCAGGTTCAAGATGTCTGAGGCGATATTATTGCTGAAATCATCTTCTGTTTGGGGGTTTGTTGATGCTTGTATGGCCTTCTTATTGTGGCTTGTTGTGAAGCATTATACAACCATTAGTTCTGGTCCTCGAATCTGATTGGATGAACGCTGTTCCAAGAGTGCTGATATTTAGTCCAACAGCATTGGGACTTTTACATCACTGGCTATGTTTACATGCACAATTTTCGTTTCAATCGTACTGAATTCATTCCGATTTATGAATCTGAGTGTAGTGTTTACATGAAGGCTAGATAAAGTGTTCGGGTTGATGTGCGCGTTTATGTCACAAGCTTCAAATCGAAATTGTTTTTTTTTACATGCGCACACTGCACAAATATAGAGCTTCCCACTGTTTGCACGTAACCACTCTCCTACACTGCTTCTTTATTTGTTTTAAACAGCAGAATTTATTTTTTTATTTTTTTATTTTTTTATTAAACATGTATTCAGAAATACAAGTGTGACAGAACATATGCCAAGGAAAAGAGCCAGGGGTTCAAGGATGACCAAACAATATACAGCAATTACAAATCAAAAGAGAAAGAGTAGAAAAATAAATAAATAAGTAAATGAGAAAAAATAAGATAAATAAAATAAACAGATCACACAACAAAAAACATACTCTTCCCTCAAAACACAAAATAATTATAGAATTAATATTTATCCATTACAAACCGCTGTGCCGTCATGCGTCATTACGCAATTTCTACGTCATTGCACATGCACAGTCATTTCCGTTTCGGTTTTCAATCCGATCAAGCCTTTACATGCACTCTCAATCGCATTAGAAAAGGAATAAACCACCCCTTTCAATCCGGTCGAAATTTCGTTCGAGCTCAATCAGATCGTGTTTACATGAAGGCTTTTCAGTCCAATTGAGCTGTCAATCCGATTACAAACGGATTATTTGGTTGCATATAAACGTAGCCACTCTGTTCGCCATTTTTATTCTTATTTTTTTGAAAGTAAAAGCATTTTTGGGTGAGTCTGGTGTTTTCCAAAGGCACATTTCTCGAATCCACACAAAACGACTAAAACGCTGTATTATGCATGCCAGGCCAGTAGTTGGCGTTGTCATTGTGTACAACGCAAAAAGTGGAAGTAAGCTGTTTTCTGTGGTAAAACTCTGTAAAACTGTTTGTACTACAAACCAGTGTTCATTATTAAGATTATACATTTATCAAGCACCAAAACGAGCTGTTTTGTACAGCTAAAAATAGCTGGAAGCGGATGACACTGCAGACACATTACATTTAAAAATGGCTGCGCCCACTCTTACAGAAAAAATAAGGTGGATAGACCCTTTGAGTTCAAAGGATTTGACATATTCTTAAAAGAAGTAAAAAGGGACTTTATATCAGATGAAAACATTCTAAAGTTAGGTTTGCAATGAATGGTTCTGGCGTGGATAGACCTTATGCGCCAGAGAAACAAGTGCTCAGCCATCTTTAGAATTCTGTCTTTGAACTTACGTATTTGCGTTAGCTTTATAGCACCGCTGTTGAAGAGTAATTAGCTTGTGAAGTGGATTTATTTATTGTAGAGTTAACTAAGTTATCGTGAATGTAATGTTCGAAGCAGATGTCATAACAAATGTCAGTAGACCGGGAAGATTTTAAAATGAGCAGTTCAGAAATTTGTACGATCTTCACACTGTGGAAATACAAATGAAAAATAGAACACAAAGAGCGCAGCGTTGAAAAGGGGTGGAGCTACATAAGGTCTATAGACCGCACATGTAATACGCATGCACATAATGTCAACGTTTTCACAAATTCACCTTTTTGTAGGTTACACAGAGATGGTACCTTTTTCAAAAATTTGCACTTTGAAACCAGTTTTCAAAAGTTAGCATTTTCAGGCCCCCAAAACGCTGTTGCCATGTAAATGAACTGCCAAAATGCAAAAAAGTATTTGTTTTTATTTGAAAAGGGTGTTGTGTAAAAAAACAAGGCTACAAAATTAATTGATAACTATGAAGTCTCGATCATTTAGTTGATTATTCTAACAACCCCTCCTTTTCAGTTTTACTAATAAATGATAATTGTAAAGGCCCTGATACACGTCAAATGAAATGACGACTGAACTGGCGTGACGTCATTTCAAACAAAATCCAACTATGGTACCACCTCCATAAGGATACTGATTTTTAACAGTAATTGATAAACCTTTAAAGCAGACCAGTAAGCTCTGAGATTGTTAATCGATTGTACAGTTGAAGTCAAAAGTTTTCAGAATCTGCAAAATGTTAATTAATTTACCAAAATAAGAGGGATCATACAAAATGCATGTTATTGTTTATTTAGTACTGATCTGAATAAGATATTTCACATAAAAGATGTTTACATATAGTCCACAAGCGAAAATAATAGTTGAATTTATAAAAATGACATTGTTCAAAAGTTTACATCCCCTTGATTCTTAATACTGTGTTGTTACCTGAATGATCCACAGCTGTGTTTTTTAGTGCTAGTTGTTCACGAGTCCCTTGTTTGTCCTGAACAGTTAAACTTATTCAGATTAGTACTGAAAAACAATAACATGCATTTTGTATGATACCTCTTATTTTGGTAAAATAATTAACATTTTGCAGATTCTGCAAGGTGTATGTAAACTTTTGACTTCAACTGTATATAGTATCTCAGGGCCTTTATTTCTGACATTAATCTTTCAAACAGTTTATTGAAACATTTTCTCTTGAAAATGCTTAAATTATGAATAACAGGTATCAGTTCTTTTGTTTAGTGTATGCTACTTCTCTGTTATGTGAATTACATCATAATAGCGACAGGTAGGCTAATAAAGTTGTTTAATGCTAACGTCTTGTTTATTGAACTTTTGTATAAAATCAATATAAGACCATCTTGTTCCATCGGTATGAATAGAATAGTTTTGTTTGTGATGATTTATATGTTGGATTTGTTGCTTTTGGTATATCCTGGGCTGTGTCTTTCAGGGTTATGCAGTGAGTTTAGACATCAGTAGTGGAGCAGAGAGAGCTCAATAACCATTAGCACTCACATGATGTCATTGCCTCAATTGTTATTTCATAAGCTAAATGAAAGGCCAGCAATTTGATGATGGATGACAGTTTCAGAAACTAGTTCAGGTATAATAAATCGTGTTTATTAGAGATCTGCTGTTGTAAACCGGTGCAAATATCTCACTTGAACACCGTGGTAAAACGTTAGATGGATGTTAACGCTCTGACATAGTTTTAATTGGAGCCTGGATGCAGTGACTATGAAGAGGTCCTGTGTTGTGAAGTTACAAAACCACGTTACATTGTGATTTATGAGTCTGAAGAACACACTCTCAGGAAAAAAGGTACAAAAGCGGTCACAAAAGCTACACCTAAAGGGTGGATATAAGAACCTTAAAGCTATTAGTACCTAAATGATAGCTGATGATAATGATAAGTGATAGCTTTTGTATCTTTTTTTCTGAGAGTGTGCCAAACATAGTTTCGAGTTGTTATTTTTTTTCACACTTACTTGTACTGTATTATGTGGGTTTATGGCAAACCGAAGCCAGTATGTTTAAAAAGCCCATTTGCAACTCTTCATTTCATGTTTTCTTCTTTTACACTCTACTTTAAGACAATTTGATGGTAGCTTGTTGTGCCCTATGAAATGACAAAGCATGTATTCAAATTCCAGCTCTTTAAGTCATTCATAATTTCTGCTTTCCTTCACAGTGCCCCATTCATATGAGTAGATGAGTATCTGCTTCACAGGAATTGCTTTATGGAAACAGTAAATATGTTTCTCATTTGCAGATGAAATATTTGTTTTTTAACATACTGTATCAACATTTATTTTAATAAATCACTTTTTGTGCTATTGTTGTCCACCACAGTGTGACTCCATACCTGCCCATGCATTAAATTCTTCACTGGCTTTGTTCATATGCTTTAGTAATTACCAGAGTTTTTGGCTCATCAGCAGTATGAAATATTGCTCTTTTGCAGTACTTTCCTTTTCAGCACCTTTTTATTTAGAAATAAAGCACGTTTGGAGCACTTTATAATGTCTGTCCTGATGACCCCTCTGATAGCAGAAGTGGTAAATCACTGCTGCGTTTGAAAATAATCCAAAAGTAAAGAGGATTTGCCTTTGCTTGTGTACTTTTTATGCTGTAGCCTCCATTAAGACGTTCACAGATTTCATTGCTGGTCTTCTCTCTTAATATAGCATTAACAAACAAAATACTATCAGGGTAACACAAATGATACAATAATGCAATAAACGTAAAATGAACACCCTGGTGCACAAACTATTTATGAAATCAAATACAATTGTGATGCATCATGCAGGGAATTTAGGAACATCACAGTAAAAGTATTTGCTTACAAACATTTTAAATAATAGTAATAGTTTTCTTTATCCTTCACATAAAGGCTCTTGTTGCAGATATCAAGTGCATATATTTGCACTTTGGTGATATTTGGCAATATTTTATGACAATCTGATTATTTTTTAAGTGCTGGATAGTGACCTGAGATTGTGTTGGATTCATGTAGACTGTGCCCCACTTTCTGAAGGTCATGCATTAGTGAGCATGAAGCCACTGTGAGCAGCTGAACATTTACAGAGCGGCCACTGCCAAAAACACTACGCAACTGACCAGAACTGCTTTACTTGGGCTTTAATGCATTTGAGTCTGAACTCTACATATATAACAAAAATGTTCCAACCATAGACTGTATAAAAACATGGACATAGTGTCCGTGACATCACCCGTAGGTTTCTGAAGAGCGTTTTTGAAGCTCAAAGTGGGCGGAGCGGGCCGTCGCCATCTTGGCAGCGCGTCACCGCACGTCACTCCCGGATAATCGAAAATGGGCAAAAAGGCGGGAGCTGGTTGCTGGGGCCATGCCCACTTAGCTTGACGGCAGTGTCAGCAGCGGCAATCCACCTGTCACTCAAGTGGCCACGCCCTTAATTATGCAGAACTTAAGGCTGGTACGAGACCAAACGCGATTTCAGCAGGTCTCCACAGTAAACAAAACAAGCGTTTTATGGCGTTTACTTTAAGGCTTAATATGATTTAAACGGATGAGTTATAAAAAAATTCACCCCCCTTACAGTTGTCATGAAGGGCAAAATTAGATATATAGACCAAAATAATTTTTTGAAACCAGGCTGTAAACATGTTTTTTTCTGCTGTAAAGTTGGGCATTTTAACATGGAGAGTCTATGGGATTGACTCCCTTTTGGAGCCAGCCTCTAGCGGCCAGTTGACGAATTACAGTTTAAGTCACTTCCTTGTTGGCTTCACGAGAGAGAGCGGGAGGTTGCCGCTTGGTTCCAACCAAGAAATTCTGTGAGATGTGCCTCTCACATCGGCAAATAGAATTAGCAAAAATAGTAACTGTTATTAAACACTTTCCTGCCTGGCATTGGTCAAACAAATGGAAAGGCAACGATGCAGTGCCAACCAGGACAATGAAACATGAAAGAAACAAAGATAAAAGATGCATTTGCTCAAATGTAACAAAGAAAAACACAAAAAGAACTCCAATACGTATCTCAGTTATTAAATGAAAGAACAGCATCTCAAGGAATAACAGCAATAACATTTTCTTTGGAGAAAAAAATATCACGGTTTTGAATGTGAATCGTGCTATTATGAATATGTATGTGAATATGTAATCATTGAATATACAGAGAGAGAGAGATTCAAACTATTTAAGAGTCTGTAAGATTTTTTAATGTTTTTGAAAGAAGCATCTTCTGCATTTAATAATATTGAGAAATATTATTACAACTTAAAATAAGTTGTAGAATGTAATTTATTCCTGTGATGCGCAGCTGAATTTTCAGCAGCATTACTCCAGTCTTCAGTGTCACATGATCTTCAGAAATCATTCTAATATGCTGATTTGCTGCTCAAGTAACATTTCTGATTATTATCAATGTTGAAAACAGTTGTGCTGCTTCATATTTTTGTGGAAACTATGATACATTTATTTTTTCAGGATTCTTTGATAAATAAAAATTTTAGAAGGAATTAAAACATTTAAAATAGGTACTCCTTGATATATATATATATATATATATATATATCCATCTTCACTTCCATTTTTATGTTTCTTATTTATTAAAAATTTTTTTGAACATTTTCCACAAACACCACACCACAACTAGTCGTGCTCTCAGGTCTCTGAGGTTATTGTTCATATTCAGACGCTGTCAGGACTCCAGCGCTGGAGCGTTCGGTTATGCCTCCTCTTCTCATGTTTCGAGGGGAATGACAGTGACATTTAAACTTGGCACCGTGAGCGAGGGGGAGAATAACGGCATGGACTGGGTCTGTTTGTTCATAGCAACATTGTAAAGTGACTGACCTTTGTTTTTTTTTCTCTTTCTCAGATAAGCTATTTGGGAAGCGGCTGCTGCAGGCTGGGAGACACATCATGTCCCATAAATCCTGGATGAAGACGGTGCCCACAGAGAACTGTGATGTCCTTATGACGTTTGCAGGTGCCTTAGATGTATTTTTTCCTGTCTCTTTCTTTCTATATTTCTTACAAAACACTGAATAAATACCGTTATTATTCCTTACAAAAATACATTTTTTTAAAATTATGGTATGATATTACTGTGGTATTTGAATGCGGTAATCTTTCAGTGCCATGATATATATTAATATAATATACCACCAGAGAACTTTTGACATGTTTCACAAATATGTGAGGAAAAAAAATGTATGATGCATAATTATTTGCTTTGGGGTTTGAGCGTGTTTTATGCAAATTACTAACTTCTGGCACAAGGACACTCATTTAGGATTCTCCAAATTCATTAACATTTGATTTGATAAGCTGTGAACATGCTGTGAATTAGCTGGAAAATATCCATGAGAAGTTCTCCTGTATGTGTAAATGCAAATAATCCAAACAATTATTAGCGAATGAGTGCAAATGAGTGAAATACAATCATAACAATCATGAATTGTATGTGAGAACGTCCAGTTTCATGCAGAATTACACATACAGTGTAATTTTACATACAGTGTAGCTAGCGAACAAGATCCAGTGTCTTTATTTCATATAGAATACTTTTATCACTTTTGTCCACTGTATAAAGGGAAAATTTGCAATAGTTTTTACTATTTATACCTGACTTTATCCTTAAAAATGGCTTATTTTTTTTACCCCAGTGTAGTCAGGTTAATATTAATTAACATTTTTTGAATAAAACCAGTTAATTTAGATCAGCGTTATTATGGTTAACTAAAACTAAGACCATAAACAAAAACAAAAAAATTTTTGCATTTTTTTTTTGTTTCAGCTACTTAACAGGGCAGCATTTCTCATTTTCATTTCGCTTAACTTTATTATTTACTAAAAAACGAAAACTGTTATAATAATGAATAAACTATATAGACGTATTTTTTTAAAAAAAATGACAAAAACACAACAACACAACAAAAAATGACTAAAACCTTAACTAAAATGAACATAAAAGCCAAAAATATAAAAAATCAAATCAAATTCAAAATATTAACAAAAAATATAGTAGTATCTCAATGATACTAAAATGATGAATTTCAATTTCAGGATTGTGCTTCAATCAGAATGCCTTTTGAAGTCCATTTTAATTGCTGAATTTATAATTAATAAAGCAAACAGGATGTACGACTGTAATTTAAAATATAAAGACAGATTTGAAATAGAAACCATGTGTTTTGAGTGAATTTACATTGCTATTTTATGCAAACAGACACATTGTACCTACAGTAATAGCTGCTGAAACAAACAGAATATTTTGGTGTTATGGATGTCTTTTTTTGCTGTGTATCTCAGTTGAATAAATAGCATATAGGTGATGAGGTGTTTATTTTTGTCTCCATACAGACACCACAGATGACCACACGCTGCTCTGGCTTCTGAACCACATACGGCTCGGCATCCCAGAACTCATTATCCAGATCCGACACCACAAACACACCAGAATGTACGCCTTCTTCGTCACGGCCACATACGAAAAGTGAGAGGGAGCTTTTATCTTTCCTTTAGATTAATCTCCTGTTTATGAGAATGATTTGTTGATGTAATTAGCATGTATGCCATGAAATGAGGCATAAGGGTCAAGAAAATACTAGTTTGATGTTTCTTGTCATGTTCCAACATGAGCCTCTAGAGAAGAAGTTGTGGAGCTCATGAGAGCTCACTTCATCAAAACAAAATACACTAACGTTCAAAATATTAGGGTTGGTGAGATTGTTTAAATGTTTTGAGAGAAGTCTCTTCTGCTCACCAAGGCTGCATTTATTTGATCAAAAATACAATAAAAACAGTAATATTGTGAAATGTTATTATAATTTAAAGTAGCGGTTTTCTGTTTGAATACATTGTAAAATGTAATTTAATTTCTGCGATCAAAGCTGAATTTTCAGCATCATTACTCCAGTCTTCAGTGTCACATGATCCTTCAGAAATCACTCTAATATGCTGATTTGCTGCTTTAAACGTGTTGAAAACAGTTGCTGCGTAATATTATTGTAATGATACATTTTGTTTTTCAAGATTCTTTGATGAATAAAAAAGTTCAGCATTTATTTGAAATAGAAATCATTTGTGACAATGTAAATGTCTTTAGTTTCACTTTTGGATCAATTTATTCAGGGTTATTAAATACACCACACAAAATGAAATAAATGTTAACTGTAAGAAATATATACAAATAAACGTATTTTATTTCAGCTAGTTAAGGCAACATTTCTCATTTTTGTTTAGTTTAACGTGGTGTATTAAAACAACTGCAAATTAACTGGAACAAAAATTTATAAAAACTATATAGACAAATTTAAAGGAGACATATTATGTCTCTTTTTACAATATGTAATATAAGTCTCTGGTGTCCCCAGAATGTGTCTGTGAAGTTTCAGCTCAAAATACCCCACAGATCATTTATTATGTATCATTTTGAAATTGCCTATTTTGAGTGGAAGCAGAAACACGATATTTTTCATGCCTGTCTCTTTAAATGCAAATGAGCTGCTGCTCCCTGCCCCCTTTTCCAGAATAGAGCTGCGCCATTACAGCTCGTACCTGCTAAAAACATCTGTTTTGGTTCTGATTATCATGTTTATCGCTCTGAAATCATGCGTTTTAATCCATATTAATTTAAACTTCTGATATACGTTTTCTGAGTGCACACGGACAGAAAGCGGCTGTCACAGCATGTGAGTACTAAACTAAGTTCTCATTCACTCACAAGTTTACGTTAAAAACACACAAGTTACAAAAACAGTCGGTTATGTCTGTGGAGGTCAGACGCGCTCGTTTTCTCAGACGCTTGCAGAAAAAGGCTTCCCAAAACAAAGTGACTGGGTTAATCTTTTTCACGTTTCCTTGGTTGGTAGATGCACCGTGGACCTGATTATAGCACTTAAAACCTGGAAAAGTCCGATTTTCATGATATGTCACCTTTAAAAATAACAAAAATGAATTCAAATGACAAAACACACAGCTTTAACTAAAATTAAAAAAACGAAAAGAGAAAATATAAAAATAAAATCCAACTCAAAATATTAACAACTTTAACGACAACAATAATACTAAATTAACACTGAATTAAATGTATGCTGATTTCTTCTTTTTACTGACCCCAAACTTGTGTACACAGAAAGCTTGTTCTGGAACATAAGTTATATTTTCTTTGCTTTATCATAGTGTTCATAGTTAGAGGCTAGCTTGTGTCTGACATTGATGCTGATGTTTTTTTTTTATTGTGTGGCCAGTCTTTTACGAGGGGCTGAAGAGATGGGACTGCAGAAAGCTGTGAAGCCGGAGTTTGGTGGTGGTTCTCGGAGTTTCTCCTGTGAGGAAGATTACATCTACGAGAACATTGAGAGTGAACTCTGTTTCTTCACCTCACAGGTCCTTCACAATATTGAGCATAAAGGTTTTGATGCAGCATTAAGTTGGTTTTTCGCTTGTTATCAAGACTGCTGATGACATCTCATTAAAACAGAAAAAGGCTATTATAATTTGGAGTTGCATACAGTAAAAAAGTGGTACCCTAAAATGGTAACGTAAAAAAAACTACAAATATTATATAATATCACTGAGCAAGCATAAATGCAGAACAACAACATTTGGTTAAATCAAGGAGGTTAAACTGCAGGTTACCACTTTTTACAGCGTAATTACAAAAATACATTGATATATACGTAACTTACAAAGTTCACATGTCCCCTAAGGAATATTTTAGGTTAAATACAGCCAAAACAACAGCATTTGAGACATATTGACTACCACAGAAAAATATTTTGACTCTCAGTTTATAAAAATTTGTACCTCAGTTTGTAAAAACTGTATAATTTTAGCCATTACACTCAAACAACGTGCTGTTAGCAATGTAATGTAATAGCTAGTCTGAATTGCTAAATAGAACCTTGTATGTGTACAGCTTATTTCAACCAGTTTTGTTATTGTTAACTAAAACTAAAAATATTTTCATTTTTGAAGTGAAATAAAATAAAATAGAAATACTTAATAAAACCTAAAAAGAAATAGAATAGAACTTAAAAAACGGGCAAATAGCTGAAATCAAATAATTTGAAGTACTAAAATTAAAATTACTCAAAGTTAAATGAAAACTAAATCGAAATCTAAAAAACTAATAAAAATAGCAGAAGCATATAACAAAGTTACTAGAACTTTTAAACTAAAATAAAAAACCACTAACTCAAAATGTCAATAAATAGAATAATAACTAATAATAATATAATGTAATAACTAATAATATATAAATAACTAATTGGTAAAATACCACCACAAAATGACGATTTAGATGACGTCACACATTACATTTTATTCATTTTTATTTTTACTCATCCATGAAGCCTTTAACAAAAATACAAGTGTCACATTTCTACTTTTAATATCTTGCCCTATAAACTTCCATTGTAAGCATATTTGTTTTTCGACATCACAGACATTGTCAATACTGGTAAGGTTATATTTAATCCATTATATTCCTTTAAAGAATCAAGTCATTTCATTGAGACATCGAGTTGGGTTGTACATTTTTGTGAACATTATTATAGATTGAAGCCTATTCTTTTCCGTATGACAGGAACGACAAAGCATAATCAAATACTGGCTGGACAATCTCAGAGCTAAACATGGGGAGGCCCTTCACAACATCCACTTCCTGGAAGGGCAGCCAATCAGTGAGTTCTTCTCTTTAGACTTCCTGAGAGCCCTGAGAAGTGTGCACCAGTGGCCTGTATGTATGTATAAGTCGCTCAGTATCTTGATGGTCTGTACCTGAAAGTAATTGGACTGGATTTATATGTTGCTGGTGACAGATGTAGTGAACATTTCTGGAAGGAAAAGTTTTACCGAAGTTTTGAATACCTGTTCATGTTGTGTGTGTGTGTTAGTGAGCGTGAACTGTGTGTGTATGTTCCAGTTCCTGAGCTGAGGGCACGAGGTGTGATCCAGCAAGTCTTCCCACTTCATGAGCAGAGGATTCTGGGGCAGCTGATGAAGTCGTGGGTGCAGGCCGTGTGTGAAAAACAGCCACTCGGTTAGTAGTTCGAAGTGGAAAGTCAACACTGAAATATACTTCATTACTAATATTTCAGTTTGTTGTTATTTTAGAACTGAAAAATAATGTTGCGAACAACCCTGCTGAAAAAAAACAAAAAACATAAGCCTGATTGCTGGTCTTTTTGCCAATTTTATCCAAGCTTTACTAAATCTGGGTTCATTTAAGAATGTTAATAAAGCACATTTAAGTTTTATTAAAAAAAATAATAAAATAGGCTACTGTTGCATTAATGAAAAATGGAAAGAAAAAAATTTTTGAACTTTTTATATATCATTTTTTACTTTTTACATATAATTTGTAATATATATATATAAAATTTGTAAAAAGTATCAAATCAGTTCAAATCAGTTCTTAGAAATGTTGCCGAAAAAGCAAATCAATTTTACAAAATTTTGGCTCTTCATTTTTTACACTTCAATTTTAAAAACAAAAATATGATGCTAAGATATAGTAATGATTATTTTGATTCATCTGTTGAAAATCAGATTTAAAAAAAATTTGTTATTTTGATTTTAAAATGTATTGATTTTAATCAATTATTTATGAAAATGTTATTCCACATCCCTTCCAACGTTGTACAATTTGAAGGCTACAAAAAGAAAAATAGTGAATGTATCTATAAGCTATGCTATACATTATGTGCAAAAAAGGGTTAAAATATAAAAGTTACATTCTAAACGACTAATAACAGCTTACCATTTTAAAGTAGTTAAAATTACTAAATTAAAAATGATAGTAAACAAAAACACATTAACTGCTACAAGGTACACACACTTTCATCTGGACAAAGTAATCAAATTTATACTCCAGTGAAGTACTTTTACTGTTTCTTTTGTCATAAAAATACTATTACTTGTTAATTTTAAGCCTACATTTATTGTCTAACAACAAATGATTTTGCAAAATGTATATTTTTGTCAAAATTACTGCACTCTTAATCTATATGCGATTAATCAATAAACAAATTTGCTGCTGAATATTTTATTACCGATTTTATTGATTAGTTGCTGCTGCCCTACTTAGATACTTGAATGATTTGTCATTGAGTCTTTGTCTTCTTTGTCTTGTTAGATGATATTTGTGATTATTTTGGCGTGAAGATTGCCATGTACTTTGCCTGGCTGGGTTTCTACACCACTTCCATGTTGTATCCAGCCGTTATTGGCTTTGTATTGTGGATGCTCACAGAATCCGATCAGGTATTTGACCACTTAAACACCAGAAAAGTAACTGATCTGTAGAACAATAATAGAGCAATAGTAGTACAATCTACTATTGTTCATGTGATTGATATTTCTGTCGCTGTGCTCTCAGACCAGCAGGGATATCTGTTGTGTGGTGTTTGCTCTCTTTAATGTGGTGTGGGCCACATTGTTCCTGGAGCGCTGGAAACGCAGAGGAGCGGAGCTCGCCTATAAGTGGGGTACACTGGACACCCCAGCTGAGTCACTGGAGGAGCCCAGACCTCAGTTCAGGGTAATGACTCGGGCTGTCAAGCGATTAACATTTTAATGCAGTTAATCACATGATGCTCCGATTAATTCATCTTATTAATAGCATATTAACTGCACATCAATTTTGGCTGAGAAACTACCCCCAAAAGATCATTTAAAGTCATTATTGTGTTAAATGAAAAAAGCATTGAAAAGCCATTGCAAAAAAAGTAACTTTAGAAAGAAGTATTTTGATTCAACATTGAATAAATAATGATAATAAATAGGTATTATTGATGTTTTTTTGGAAAACCAAAAATGAATATTAAAAAATGATTTTTTTTTTTTAATAATACTCTAAATATGAAACTTAACCCACCAGAAGGTGGAGACAAGTTACTGTCTTAATGAGCGAGTCATTCAGAAACAAAGCAAGTGACTCGCTGCTTCTGAAATCGAATGCTTCCCTACTATATAGTATGTGAAAACAGTATGTAACGTGAGTAGTATGTTCGAATTCATAGTATTCAAAAAACGCACGTACACAAGAGAGTGGCATTCCAGTGGATGACACAGACAGATCTGGGCAGGGTGGGGTGCGTTACACACATTAATCATTTTAACGCATTATTTTTTTCCAAAATGAATTGCACCAAATTAATGTGTTAAATCAACGGCCCTACACTGTAAAAAATGACCATGAATTTAACGGTAAAAGACTGTAAAAATGCTACAGTAAAAACCTGTTAAATGGTTAACAGTAAATTCCGCTACTATATACGGTGAAAAACTGTATTGAGGAATGACATCTGATGCATCTGAAAACACATCTTTTAAATGAATTCTTCTCTCTCTCTTGCTCTTCGGGTCAGGGTGTGAAGCGGTGCAGTCCAGTGACGGGCTGTGAGGAGTTTTATTACCCACCGTGGAGGAGGAGAGTGTTCAGATGGCTGGTCAGCTTTCCTGTCTGTATATTATGCCTTTGCTTTGTATTTCTGGCCATGCTCGTCTGCTTTGAGCTTCAGGTGAGTTACACACGCTCTCACACACAAGTAAAGGCAAGAAGGTGATTAAAAATAATGAAAGATACCATGTAAATGAATAATAAATAAAAAAGGGAATTGTGACTTTTTATCTTGCATTTCTGACGCAATTATGAGAAAAAAGTAATAGTACAATTGTGAGATATAAACTCACAATTCTAATATTTTCTCACAGTTCTGAGTTTATATCTCACTTTTTTTTTCGATAACGGATAATTGCAGATAATTGCAACTGTTTATCACATATAATTGCAAGCTTATATTTCAGAGTTCAGACTTTTCTTCTCACAATTCACACTTTTTTCTTCCAGTTGAGAGTTTATAAGTCAAGATGTGAGATATTAACTCAGAATGGCAAGAAAAAAAATCAGAATTGTGAGATTAAATTGTTTTTTTTTTTTGTTGAGATTTTTATCCCATGGCAGAAATGGACTTCCATACGTTTTACCGTAATATATGATAAAAACAAAAGTAATATAATATAGATTTACATATTACTAAGTGCAAATAGAAAACAGTTCTTGTAATGTGAGTTGTAATGAAGTGATGTTTGGCAGGAATTTGTGATGGGGATTAAGGAGCTTCCACGTGTAGCAAGATTTATTCCTAAAATCATGTTGGCCATCACTGTGACGGCGTGTGATGAGGTGTACAGAAAGATCGCCTGCTGGCTAAATGACATGGGTGAGTCACAGGACATATGGGAGTTTATATCTGGTCATTTATCATTTGAAGTGTTTATGAACACTGTGCATTTATTATGCAACTCAGGAAATTTTGGTTTAAAGTTTGTCAGTAGTAGAAAGTAACAAGATCGAAACGGATTGTGGTCTGGATTTTGGGAATACAGCCCTCAAGAAGCCAAACACAGGAGTGAGAAGGAGAAAGAAGATAAACACTGGCTAGCTGTTAGGCCCCTGTGAGGTGAATACTAATATCTGAATCTGTTGTTTCCCATAGAAAATTACAGACTCCAGAGTGCCTATGAGAAAAATCTCATCATCAAAATGGTTCTTGTAAGTAACAAACAAACAAATAAATAAATATCTTTTTGAACCTTGTCATAGCACTGTATTGGGTTTGTTCCTAAAATGCTCTCTTTCTTTCTCAGTTTCAGTTTGTAAATTCTTATCTCAGCCTTTTCTATATTGGATTCTACCTCAAAGACATGGAGCGTCTGAAAGAGGTGAGTCTCAGACTGGACCAGCTGAACATCTGCTTTACACTTCTTACTAAAACCACACCACAGAAACATGAATCATCAAAGCGGCATGCATTCTTTTTAATTCCGTAGTTCCCTTTCAGTCGGTCACTCTCGACGTCATGTCGGATGACCGACGAAATTGGGATCTCGCTTAGAGGGACCAATCTACTTCGAGTGTAAACTAAACGAGCCAATGCACATTGGCATGCGATTATTGCATCCAGCTGCTGCTGATCACAGCGTGAGTATAAGTAGGCAGCAGATGCAGCGCATATTCAGCTTTTCGCTTCGGAGCCGAGCGATCACATCGTTCTGCTCCTGACTACTCTACTGAGAAAAGCATGTATATATTTATATTCATATAATTGATATTATATATAAATATTTTACATGTATAAACTTAACTAATTTTTCTTAAATATATACATGCATGTGTGTGTATTTATATATACATAATAAATATACACAGTACACACACACACATATACTATGTAAACAAAAACTTTTATTTTGGATGCGATTAATCGCGATTAATCATTTGACAGCACTACTCATTATATTCATTTCCAATGGAAAAGAACTTAAATAAATGCGCTTCTATACTGCAAACAGTTTGTTTTACCAGCAAGCGAGTCACGGTTTAACTTAAAAGACTTCACCATGCACGTTGGGGGGGGACTTTTGAACAGAGTGAAGATGTGTTCCTTTTTTTCTTATTTTGCCCAAATATCATATTTTTTTCATTTAGTGCTGCCCTTCAGAAGCTGCAGAAGATACTTACATGTTTCCCAGAAGACAAAATCAGTTAAATTTACCCTGATCTTCAAATTCAAAAAGTTTCACCCCCCGGCTCTTAATGCATGTTTTTTCCTTCTGGAGCATCAGTGAGCGTTTGAACCTTCTGTAATAGTTGCGTAGGAGTCCCTCAGTTGTCCTCAGTGTGAAAAGATGGATCTCAAAATCATACAGTCATTATTGGAAAGGGTTCAAATACACAAAAATGCTGGAAAACCAAAGAATTTGTGGAACCTGAAGGACTTTTCTGAAGAACAGCAGGCAGTTCAACTGTTCAGGACAAACAAGGGACTCATGAACAACTATCACTAAACAAAAAAAACACAGCTGTGGATCATTCAGGTAACAACACAGTATTAAGAATCAAGGGGATGTAAACTTTTGAACGAGGTCATTTTTATCAATTCAGCTATTATTTTCTCTTGTGGACTATATGTAAACATCTTTTGTTTGAAATATCTTATTCAGGTCAGTACTAAATAAACAATAACATGCATTTTGTATGATCCCTCTTATTTTGGTAAATTAACATTTTGCAGATTCTGAAAACTTTTGACTTCAACTGTAAATATGTAAATGTATTTGTAGTACACTTAGCATGAAATAAGTGTATTTCGAATGCATTTAAGTGTATTTATTTTTCACTAGGGTAGAGAGAGCTAGAATTGATTTAACATGGCAGTCAGAATGCACATGTTAACCGAAGCATGCACAATTGGGATATTCATATCAATGTGTAACTGTTGCTGCAGATGCTGGCCACACTGCTGATTATCCGGCAGTTTGTACAGAACATGAAGGAGGTCCTGCAGCCCTACCTGGCCGAGCGGCACCGATTGGGTGAGCTGACGCTGAGAGCCGTTTGGGAGCTGCTGGTGTCTGCACTGCTCAAGTACGGGCGGCTCGCAGCAGGACGAGCGCAGGTCTCGCCCAGCGACCCCACCGTGCTCGGCTCAGGCCTGCGCGGGCCACAGATGGGGGAGGAGGGCCCTCAGGAGAGACGAGAACGCAAGTGTCTAAACGGTGGCTGCGGCGTCCCGGATGAGGATGTGGAGGAGGAGCCTGGCGAGAGGCACAGCGAAGAAGAGAACGAATCGGAGAGCCTCATCGATTGTGGCCTGAAGTTACGAAAGGTCAGCTTCATTGAGAAGGTAGAGCGCAAGTCTGCCAGCTGCATCAGCGCGGTGGACGACAGCTTCATGGAGGAGGGAAGCCCCACCATGGTGGAGAGGGGCATGGATCCCGCCTCGGTTTTCGAGATGTGCGATGATGAGGATGAAAACGGGGCTCCGGAGATGAAGGAGCTGACAACCGAGCCGCTGCCGGCGGGAGCGCAGAACTGCACTTCAGTCAGGCTCAGGAAGAGGGGACGGAGCTTAGAGAGGGCTGACAGTAAGACCAAGAGGGATTCGTGGATGGATCCTCCTGAAGTACAAGAAACCAACAAGCTAACACAGGCCGAGATGGAGAGCTGCATGCAAACGAACCAGGTCAGAAGACACCGCATACGTACAGTGGTGGCCAAAATGATTAGAACACTAGTATTTTCACCAGCTCAAAAATGGGTTAACACTTTATTTTAAGGTGTCCTTGTTACACATGTTAAATGTAAGGTTTCTTGAAGAATCTTGGAGACGTTGCCACAGTTCTTCTGGATTTAGTCTGTCTCGGTTTGTTCTGTTTCTTCATCAGATCTCTGTGTGGAGCACTGGCTGTTGTCAGACAAAAATCTCACTGGATTATTACAATTAATGGCAAAATGAATGTTTGGAAATGTAAACTGATATTTCCTACTGACACACTACAGCAAAAGATAGAAATAACTGACTTAAAACCATTTTTTAGCTGGTGAAAATACTAGTGTTCTAATAATTTTGGCCACCACTGTACTACTTATATTTTTGTTTCATTTTTTTTAATGTAAAAACAATAAGATTTAAAAAAAAAAAAAAAATTGTTTAAAGCTGCATTCCGTAACTTGTTTTGGCGATTTATTGTAAAACTCTTTTTTCAGTTGGTCAGAATGAAACTGGCAGACATTTTTTTAACTTGTTTTTTGCATTGTAAAAATAAATAAGAAATAAATCGAATGAATTCTGTTCTTTTGAACTTTATGTGAAAAGCTTGAAATATGAACTTGAAAAAAAATCATCATGGATCCACAAAAATATGAAGCAGCACAACTGTTTTCCACATTGATAATGTGGAAAACAGCTTTAATCACAGAAATAAATGACATTTCAAAATATATTCACATTGAAACCACTTATTTTTAACTGTAATACTATTTCACAATATTACTGTTACTATTAATGTTTTTACTGTATTGTGAACCTTGGTGAACATGAGACTTTTTTTCAAAACTTTTCAGTAGTGTAAAATATAATTTCTATAATATTTTAGCAATATTTAAAACAGAACACAATGGCTTCCAGTTGAAGTGCTCTTTCGCAAATGTCTCTGTAATGTACTTGTGTTCTAGATTATAGATGTTCTACTACCTCAGGCAGGCAGATCCTTCTGACTGACATACTTTCTCTTAACCTCTAAAACAAAATGTCCCTAAACTGCTTTCCAGGACACTTTTCAGGACTACCAGGAGATGTTTGTTCAGTTTGGATATGTGGTGCTCTTTTCCTCTGCCTTCCCGTTGGCCGCCATGTGTGCCCTCATTAACAATATCATTGAGATCCGGAGCGACGCGTTTAAACTGTGCACCAGCCTCCAGAGACCCTTCGGCCTGAGGGTGGGCAGCATCGGGCAGTGGCAGGTTAGACTACACTGAGTACTCCGAAAATCATTATAATACTCATCTGATGCTGTTCTAAGTGTGTCTTCATACAACGAGGTTGTGTAAAAGTCCTGTATCATTGCACAGACAGTGATGGAAGCCATGGGTCTGATTGCCATCATAGTGAACTGCTATCTGATTGGTCAGTGTGGGCAGCTACAGAGACTGTTTCCCTGGCTTAGTCCTGAGATGGCCATTATCTCCATCGTCATCCTAGAGGTACATACACACCAGTGCTATTTTACTATCATTGAGATACTATTAATGTTACTATTGTTTTTATTAATATTTTGAATCAGTTTTTATTATTTTCTATTTTCCTTAAATATATACAGTACACTCATATATGTTATGTAAACAAAAACATTTATTTTGGATGCGATTAATCGCGATTAATTGTTTGACAGCACTAGAAAACGAAATTACATTTTAATGAAATGATACTCTAAATAAGAAACTAAAACTGCCAGCAGGTGATCTTAATGAATAAGTCATTGAGTCATTCATTCATTCAATCGATTTGTTCAACTGGTTGATTCATTCAGGAATGAAGTAAATGACTCTCTTTATGAATCGGCCATTGAATCATTGGTTCACTCAATTCGTTCAAAACGCGGATTCATTCAGAAATTGTGTGTTGCTTGAAGATGCACAACAGTTCTGCTGTGGCTTTAGTTTATATTTGCATTGGCAAAACTGAGCGAAAACACACAATATTCTGTCTAAAATATAACACCATATTAAGTTCTTATTTATTGAACTGTTGTATAAAATCAATATCACATTTGCATCCGTGCTATTTGGGACAAAAACAGTACTCGTGTGATATTGCACTCGTTGCTCGTGTGATATTGCTTAGCAATAGAATATATGACAGAAATATGAGACAAACTTTGATGAGAAAAAACCTTTTTCTTGAATGTTCACAGTCAGAACAAAGAAACAAATGACAAGCACTAGAACAAATAAACAGAATAAATATACAAATGAAGTAAACAGTGCTTTAAATTGTTCAGCTAAGTCTGTCTAACAGTATTCAGGTAAGAAATACTACAGAAATCTAATAAAGTGATCAAATGTAAAATGCAACACTGTATGAATGAACTGTTTACATGCGATTAAGACAATTCAGAGTCTATGCCTATTATACACTACATGATTTTCTGTGTGAGATTTGTCAGTTCTGGCTGTTCAAAATATGCAGCCTGGCTCGACTTCAGTAAGAAAAAGAAAAGCTCCTTTCTGACCGTCTGCTTCCTCGTTGAATCACATCAGAATAGCATTGTCATTCACACTCACTTTAAACATGTTATCATTGACACTTTCTATGCTTCCGGTACAATCATAAAGCATACCTATATTCAGTTCTCAAACCATGCCAGTAAGTTCGAAGTTCCTTCTGAACTGACCTCATTCACTTTATATGATTTGCTGTTATATTATTAGGACTTGTTGTTTTCAGTTTCTTGTCTAACACATAAGACTTTTACTTTCTCTCTTTCCTCTCATGAGCAGCACTTTGCAGTACTATTAAAGTATATCATTCATGTGGCAATACCAGACATCCCCAGCTGGGTCGGAGAGGAAATGGCCAAGCTGGAGTTTCAGCGCAAAGAGGCGTTTAAGGTAATACCCCATCCACCGCTGACCGAAACCATATTTAGGAAACTGAACATGATAAATGCTGGGGTATAGACTCTTTTGACTTGAACCAGTCTGCAACCACCCTGCATAAAAACACGCTAAAACACAGTAAACACCTAAAAGACTACATAGCAAGATCCTGACAACTCTCAACTCTTTAGTATTAGAGTTAATTTCATTAACATAAAATAAAAAAATGAATAAAACAGCAACCAGAATTGAAATCAGCCAATGTTTGTTTAAAAAAATTTTTTTAAATCAGCATCTGAATCGGCCATAAAACGTCCTGATGCGTGCATCACTAATTAAAATACTAAATAAAAGGCCTCAAATTGGAAGTATAATCTGGGCTGTCTTTTTCTATCAAATCTTCTATTGGTAGATCTAGATTAATTAATTTAATTAATTAACCTTTATTTAACCAGGTAAGTCAGTTGAGAACCATTTCTCATAGTAGATCAGGGATCATGGGCTTAAAAAGATTGGTGATCACTGGTTTAAAAAAAACTCTCTATATCCAAAATTGCTTTTTCCCCACAGAAAAAAAAAAAACGTTCTATTAACCAACATTAATAATCATTATTACATAATCAAAAGCAATAATCAACAATAATGATTTTGTCATGATTTTGCATAAAGAGTCTCTGAAAATGAACTCAAATGCCATGTAAGATGCAGCTTCTGTTCCACCTCTGCAGTGTAATGTTGATGTTTTGAAATTTTGATTGGTAGCGGTATATAGTGTTATGATTAATAGAAGTGACTGGTTACATTTAAGTGTTCGAAAAAAACAAACAAACAGATACATTTAATAAGGTGCGTAATAGTGTATAATAGGCATAGACTCGTCTTAATAGACTTGTCTTAATTGAATGTAAACAGTTCAATCATACATTGTTGCATTTTAAATGTATCTATTTTTTTCAAACGCTTAAATTTAACCAGTCACTTCAATCAATCATAAGACTATATACTGTTACCAATCAAAAATCTTGCACTTAATAAGGTAATTATAAAAAATGCCCTTTGAAAGGTTAAAAAAAATGTTCCTGGAAATCAGTTCCAGGGGGCAAATATTGCCCCTTACCGGAAAATATAATTTCTGTATATAGACTGGTTAATTGTAAGCATTTAAAAAAAAAATCATTAGCATTCTGGCAGCAGCTGGATTCATTGCTGTTGTACATTTGTTTTCAGAAGCATGAGCGTCAGGCACAGCAGCATTTCCAGGAGCAGCAAAGGAGGAAGCGTGAGGATGAGGAGCGCCAGCGGCAGGCGGAGTATCAAGCCCGGCGTGATCGAGACGACGGCCGCTCGGACTCTTCGGGTGGCGACCACCACCATGACAAGAGCCACAGTGGCAAATCCAGACCGGGGGGTGGGGGAGGCTCTTCTGGGGGAGAGAAACCCAAACGTCCCAGCTCGCTTCTTGGAAACAACAATGTCATGAAACTGAAGCAGATCATCCCTCTACAGAACAAGTTTTCTTCCGGCACAGCCCGTTCCCCACAGTCACCCACGGGTAGCGAACCCAAGCTACCGGGTTTCCTTAGTTTTAAGTTCCTAAAGTCTCCTGAGAACAAGAAGGAGGCGGCGATGGCTTCCGCTAGTGCGATGCCAGCTCCTCCAGTCCAGGAGAGAGCGGAAAGGTCCCAATCACCCAACAAGTCCTTCAATCCTGGGAAACTCTTTAACTTTGGGAAATCAGAGGGAGGGGCATGTGTAAATGGGGCACAACTTTCAAAACCAGGGGATGGGGGACAGGTGCAGGACAAGCCTCCAACAAAGTCCGACCTCAACGGGGTCCCGGACGAAATCCCATCCCCTTGTGGAGAGAATGGTGAGAATGCATCCTCATCCGATGCTGATCCATCAGGCTCTAAGATGTAACAAAACAGTGTGAGAAAATACTTAGTAACATTGAGGGCAGGAGAGTGGGGATGTTTTTTGAGGCTGTGCAAGACCTGGAAGCTGTTAACTTAAAGACATAATGGGGAATTCACTAAAAGCCCAGGTGTACTTCATTTTCCGCGTTCTGCTACGTCTAGTGCACAATTGTGCGTGCAAGTGTGCTCTGTTGACACTGAACATAGATGAACATGTTTGGTGCGTGCGCCACCTAGTGGACTTTTATTTTTGAGCGCTGAAATCACACATGCACTGCTGTACGTGCACAAGTTCAAAAATTGGCCTGCAAGTGGATGGCGTACACGGCAAATAACGAAAATTGTCATGTGGACTGTTCACAAGCCAGGGCGGAACACAGACTAGGGAAGTTTTCGAATACAATGGGTCGACAGATGAGCGTTGTGTATTTGCACGTGTTGCGTGCTTTGTTTTAGCACCCGATTCAGGTAATGGTCGCCACTAGAGGTCAACCGATAGTGGATTTTACCGATAACAGATTAATCAACCGATAGTTTTTAAAATGGATACTGCATGAAAACAAACAACACTCCAAATAAAATAGTGCTGAGCTTTATTACAAAAAAACCCAGTAACGAATCATGAATATGTACTGTAATTTTTAAATGATATATAAAACAATGATTTGGCTCAAATATAATGTAATGTAATTGGAAAAACCCCCTTTATATTGACGATAAAAAAGAACTGAATTGGGATCCGTTTCTGATTTGTTTATATGTTTCTGCCAGCTGCATGAAATCAGTTTGCTTTCTCACATCACTAGTTTTAAATATGCAACTTTGCTGGCTAACAAATGCATAAAAGTGACTAGCTGGATGTGAGTAATGCAAATAGATGGTAACAGCCGTGACATTAAACATTTGGGTCAGAGTTTGTCACATTGTTTTACCGCTTGAGGCACTGTTAATGTTAGCATCCTCTCAGCCTTGATGGCAACCATACTGCTGTTCTTTCTCTACTATTGTGGCATATAATCAAACCATTAATTGCTTTATAATGATATAAAACATATACTGTAGTGTGGTGTATGCATAGTGTTTTGTTGTCTGTTTTAAATCGTCATCTGAAGTGTCCCGCTCTGTGCAGCGTTCAGTCTCACATGTCAAAACAAACAGCACATGGTTCGCCTCTAGAGGCCGCTCTCCTTCTGTATAATGACAGTGAATCTTTTCAGCCACTCCAGCAAACAGATCCAACTTGGAAAATCTATCGGCATGGATTTATGCCGATAACTGATTGTTCCACCAACTGACTATCGGTGCCGATTAATCGGCAAAATCTGCAAAGATCAGTTGGCCTCTCGTCGCCACAAATTTAATGCTGAGGGTACTTGCGCCTTATTTCCAGACAATAGCTGACAGACAGCAAGCGGTAAAATGTTAACAACCTTTGCCAATTTGGCGCATTTTATAATGCGCTTCATTTGCATAGAAAGTAAGCTGACAACAACGACGACTCCGTAATTTAAGTACGCATGGCGTAGTGCAGTATCGGCGCATATACAACTTGGTTAAGTTGGATTGCGGCTGGTAAATGACGCATGGTTTCGTGCAGAAACGCTACACGCTACAGTGGTGCAAATGTTTAGTGAATTTACCCCATAATGGTTAATGCTTCGCTATATTTCAGAAAAAAACTTTGCAGAAAAGACCGCCCTCCATACATACGCACACTTATTCACACACACATTGCCTTTTCTGCAACCCAAATAGGAATGCATGAGCTGCGTTTCTGACGGTTTTTAAAGTGCAATGTTTAATTACTAGTCTGATAATTGTAACATTTTATTGGGTTGCCGGTAGAGAAAAAAAATGGAAGATCAGTTTATACCAATCTCACAGTATGACCTCCAAAACACCATAACAACTATAATCTCACAAGCAGCAGTTCCAACTATGGGTGATGAAAACTTTTGTATGTGTTTAAAACAGTTGGTTTAGTAGAGCAATAGCAAACAAGCAAAAACTACTGGTGGTCTAGTACATCCATACTGAATAATATGCCCCGAATGGCATTATAAATGGCATAATTAATATAATTAATGTTAATTAATAAGTGAAAATTAATCATGAAAACTGCAATGAAACAAATGCAAAGGGGTGTGTGATGTTGATTATTTATTGGTCTGAAATTCATATATACATTTCACACTTTTCTGAAGAGCTGTTCACAAAGGCAGCAGGATACCTGTCATGAAAACTGCTGCCATCTCCTGAATTTGATGGTCATCTTCACATTGCATTGCCACCAGTATCCTTATCATTATAGCTCTGTTTAGAACCTTCAAGCTGATATGTTACCTATAGTACAGACTTTAACCCTTCTTAATTACATCACATCAGATTGGAAACTACCCTAAACTGTAAGCAAGATAGTGTTAAAACATTTCATACACCTCCAGTCAAACGTTTGGACGCACCGAAAAACCTTTAGGTTACTGCTTAAATGCTTCAAATTAGTTTTCAAGACGTTGAAAGAGCTTAAATATACAGTAGTTTAACATTTTGTTTGCTACAGAAATCATATACGTTATTATGTATATGAATTATACATATATGCATAAATTTGCATACTGCCATTTGCATTATTTCATAGTTTTGATGGCTTTCCTATTTTCTAAAAATTTGGAAATGTGTTTCCAAACTGTTGGCTGTAATGATTAGATAATTAAATATTAATGAATCATTATCCTGCAAGCCAATGTAAGCAGCCTCATCACATACGAATATTGTATTTTTTATTAATACACTACTGAAATAATCCACTGTCACTACTATTAATCTACATGTTGCCAATTTTAATTTATTCATGCCTACCTGTGTTTGCTTTCTTAGTTTTTTTACTGAAGCAAAAGTAATATTTGCCTCCTCTTTGCACAGTATTTTAGTGTAGGTTTGGAAATGTGAAGGAAGACGTAAATGTTTCTCTCTGTCTGTAGAGGCAGTTTGAATGTGTGTTTTTCAAAGAACTTCTCTGAATGACTTTCAAAGACTTTCAGTTTGTCCTGAGCAACTAAGGGAGGGTCTTATCTTAACACACTGTGCTCAGTTGTTGCTGTCAAAACCTGTTACAGAAGTCACAATGTCACACTCTTTGAAGGGATTCTATGAAGCAGTTGAATCTGTGTAAAGCTGTTTATATTCCAGCGTAAGGTCATGAAGAAACAAGAGGTGCCTCTAGTCATGGAATATATAACATTTTTACTTTTAAGTTTATAGAAAACAAAACAAACTATGCATTTAGTTCTTTATTTGCTTGACAAGATTTGCTGAACAGACGTTGTTGCAATAATATTTTGGCCTGAATGGTAATTTTAATCTGTTTTATGTTCTAAATTTGTCTAATACACGTTTACCAAGCCATTAATTATGGTTAGAGATCAGTTTTCAATTCATTTCATTGACAAATTCATCCATTACTACTACAGCAACCAGCAACAATATACTTCCTTTGGGCCTTTTTTCACCAGGTATTAATTTGACTTCACAAAATATTAAATTGCATTATTATATTATTATATCCAATATGCATTGCATATGCAAAAATTTTATTTGATTACAAAATAATTTCTGTTTCGTGAAATGGTTGGATGTGTTACATTTTCAGTGTTAAAAAGAATAAAACATATTGGTCCCTGCATTTATATAATGAGGTATCTGTCACCTAAAATAGATTTTGTCTTTTATTTTGAGTGATATTCCCTTGACGGAGTCTCTGACTGTAAGAATGTCTGTGATTATAAATAGGCAGAAGAAGTCAATAACTGGTGTAGAATTGGAAGTGTTTGTTAGTAAGAGGAGTTTTTTGGTTGGTCGCTTTCTTTTTGAACTGAACTCTGCAATATGATAGATCATAGTCATTTCTGTATCATTCATCCACATCATGTAGTCAGACGATCGGCTCTGGCCTAATAACATTCACGTTTCTGTTATTGTTGTTTAATTTAATGATTTGAGTAGTTAAGCTACCGATAGCTGGAAGCATTACGAGGCTGCATAGGCTTGTTGTCTAAGAACTGCTTTACATTGGGTCTAACTGTGAAATATGAACTGATTGTGATGAGGAGCCACAGAGTTCCCTCTCTGAAGGCAACCTCACAAACCTATCATGAGCTCTTCCAATGTTCCACTGTAAAACTTTTCTTTATTAAAGAAACAATATTAGGGAGTGGGATTATTTCTTTCTTTTATTTTGTCATATTTTTGTAAGAACTGAAATGGGATAATAAACAGATTTAAATTTATTGTTTTTCTGAGTTGTCTTTCAGTTTCTCTTTCGGTTAGAAAGCCATTTATTCTAATATACCTAATATATTTAATATTTTCAACACACTCTCATAATTCATAGCTATTTTACGTTTTGGCAAATTGGTGGCCAATTCATATGAATTTGCTTTAAGAATATGAATTTAGTTAACTAAAAAAAATGAATTTAAAAATAAATAAATAAATAAAAACAATAAAAAAAACAATACAA